TATTAAAATATGTTCAGAAGTTCATTGGCAAAAAAGTAGTCATTAAATACTGTGAATCACTAATGCCATTGATACAGAAGTAGAATTTTCCTATGAAAATGAGAGCTTCTGTAAAAAAAAAAAAAAATGAAGTATTTGGGAATTTAACTTATTTTGAATATTATTATTTTAACTTGCTGTTTAATCCCACTATATTCTGAGCAAGGGGATAAAAGGGCAGCTATCTTTTTTAAATGTTTTGGATTTATCTGAGGGTCAAAATATAACTGCTTTTCTCCTCAGATCCTTTTGTGTTTAATGGTTGTATAAGTTCAGGGATCTGTTAGATTTTTTTTTTTTTTGAATACTTTATATTATTTTCTAGTTCAACATTTCACAGTTCCAACTTGAGTAACTAGTAATATGAGGACATTTTAAAGACACTCAGATAAGCAGTTTTAAAGTTGGAGTCACAAGCCTTCTGGTGGGAGATAAAATCCCTTTGAGAGTAGGGGTGACGGGCACCTCTTCCCAGGAAAATGTGTTTGTAATTTTCCCTCTAATTTCAGGGAACTCTTGGAGCCCCTAGAAGTCCTTCCATAAACACTCTAGGGGCATTTAAAAACCTCATCTCAGGTTACCTTTTTTCCTTGTTGCTATGAGAAACATCTTGTTAGATAAATTTGTAGGCATAGACATATAACAGATCTGTTTGGAGAGTTCTTTAAAATCTATCTCGAGGGTTTTTTCAAAAGTAATATTCTTAGTTTCAAATCCACATTTTTGTAGCTATAAGTGAACAGTTATAGACCTTTATTGCTGCTTAAAATACCAGACGATGACTACTTTTCCATTTTTTGGGGGGAAAGATTTTTCTCTAGGATCCCTACTTTGTGTAATAAAATCCTGATGAACTTAAACACTAGAGGAAGGGAATATTCTAGTTTTCAGTTAACTCAGTATTGACCAGATGACTTATACTGAACATCTTTTTGTAGTATTACTAGTAAATATAGTGCTTTAGGATTTTGTAGGACTTTTGGAGGCTATAGGTCATTTTGTTTACTATTATATGCAGTAAAGTTATAAAAGATGAATCTGAACCCCGGGGTATTGTTTAGAAGTTAAGTAGTCAGCTATAAACCAAAGAACAAAAAGCAAACAAAAACATTTTAAGTAACTACTGTGAACTAAATGTTCTAAAAATCTGAATGTCTATGTTAGTTTGTATACTGTGTGTAAGAATATATGCATTTCTTTTGTAGCCACGTCATGAATATTTTAATGTCCCTGTGTACTAAATGACTACTCATCGAGTATGCAGAATTTCACAGAGGAAATAGAATGCTGATATTCATATGAAAGAAAATATCCTCAGCATGGTGACTGATAATCTTGTATAATAATAGAACATTTCAGAACCAGTACCTTTACAATTGTATTTTTTTTCTATTCCCATTCCTAACTTTTCTGTTTTCATTCTATGCAATCTTAATATAGCTTATTCCTTTCCAAACTGGTTTAATCTTATCTTGACAAAATATGACCTATGAGTGTTTTGAGTAATATTTCATCTTAAACACATACATGTTATCACTAATGAATCATCTGTGATTATTTTATGAGAGGAAAACATGGCAATCGTTAAAATGTTTACCAAAGAAAATATAGCTGAAGTGCTAGTTCAAAATAAGCAGTGCCATAGCAAATAGTGTGGTTTAGTCTTCAAGTAATGGGACAAAAAAGAAAAAAACTGTTTTGTGTGATTATCTTACAAGCTGTATGAGTTAATGTGTTCTCATGAATCACATAAAAGCATATGTGGAAATAATACAAGAAAGTAAAATTTATCTGTACTATTATATAATACTTAAGGTTAAAATGTTCAGTCTTAAGAAATTTTGTAGTACATTTATTGAATCACATTTGTGTTGTATAATATCAAACAATCCCTTTAAGAACATATCAGAAAGCTATGTCTGAAAAGTCACTTTTGCAATATCTGTTTCTTTCAAATCATTAATGCTGAGTTTGTTTATATCATTCAAAAATTCTAATACTCAGTTTCAGTACCTAGGTACATATATTTTACTAGCTATGGCTTTCTAATATATTAAGTCTTCATATAAACACTTAATGCTTTGTTAACTGTGGCTTTATATTTCTGAATATTAAAACCTTTAATATTGATCACTATTATATATATTTTTAATAAAACATACAGCATATTTTATTATAAAAGGAAAAGTACCAAATAATTCATTGTTTATATCTGGAGAACTTAAAGTCTGAGTTAAGTAAGTTATTAAACAGTAACTTCAAAAGATGCTCAGACTGGTTTACCACTGAAAGAGAAGACCTATGAAAATGTGTTTTGACCAAACTTACTATTATTAAGGTATACAGATAAGTTATTTCCATTTTAGCCATCCTCACTCTGATGCACTACATTTGAAGCACCTGGATGTGCTATCAAATGAGAAATTTAGCATTATACATTGGAAGCATTGAGAAACATTGGTCTTTCATTTCCATTTTTCCCCTCCATCCCTCACTTTGCCCAGCAATATGTTATTCATCTGGTTTTAATGCTACATAAATATGCATTGTCTCATGCCTGTTTGTGTTGGATGATATGTGCTGAGCTGTAACAAAATGTTGCTTCTTTTGCTATCTGTATACAGCTGCTTGCTTTAAATTAGTAGATTCTGAAATAGCTTCCCTTGCATGTCTAAAATAAAAGTATTGCATGTACTTTGTCTCATGTGAATGACTTTTTTCTTTTCCATCTCTCATAAAATAACATCTTATGTTTTCATTTTCCAGGTAAATTTTTTTTAAATTGTGGTAAAAGCATAACACAGAATTCACCATCTTACCTACTTTTAAGTGTACAGTTCAGTAGTGTTAAGTATATTCACATTGTTGTGCAACAGATCCCATTAATCCACAGCTTCCCATTTCTTCCTCTCCCCCAGCTCCTGGTAACCACCATTCTACTTTTTGTTTCTATGAATTAGATAACAGTTTCTCTCGGTAGTTTTGAGCTGCATTTTTCAGTGTGAATATGTAAAAATTAAAATTATATTATCAACACAATTTATACAAAACTATACTTGTACAGGTCTCAAGAAATAAAACGTGTAAATGATTATTTGAAACTAGGCCTGTTAGGAAGGACACATATTTTATTTTTATTTTTTGCGTCAGATGCTCACTCTGTCATCCAGGCTGGAGTGCAGCAGCACACCTTGACCTGCTGGGCTCAGGTGATCCTTCCACTTTAGTCTTCCAAGTAGCTGGAACTATAGGCATGTGCCACCATGTCTGGCTAATTTTTTTTATTTATGGTAGAGATGAGGTCTCGCACCTGTGGATTCAGGCAGTCCTCTCTCCTCTGCCTCCCAGGTGCTGGGATTACAGGTGTGTGCCAGCTAAGGACAAATATTTTAAATAATGCATATTCAATAAGCAACATGATTCTCTTCAGGAAATGCTATGTAAGATTGCAAGCAGTGAGCACAGGGGGAAAATCTGACCAGCTCCAGGGAGTAGTTATGGAACACTCTTACTTGGATAAGCTGAGAATATAAACTATAGAATTCAATGTAGGCATCCTTTAATTAATACGTTAAAGCCTACATGGAGTTTTAAACTATTAAACATTAAATGGAAAGAATTTTAACTTTAATATTTGTTATTCAGACATTCAGTATATTTAATGCTTAAGGCTAAACAAACGAAAGAGATTGCTTATATCACTCTTGGGGTGTTACACAATTTCCATTGGCCTTTCTTAAAAAACTTCATCATGAAAACTTTAAGACAGAGAATAGGATAAAGAACTCTCATGTACACATTGCTCAGCTTCAACAACTGTCAACTTTAAAAAATTTTTTAGTCAGAGTCTTACTCTTGCCCAGGCTGGGGTGCAGTGGCAGGCTCATGGCTACTGCAGCCTCAACCTGCAGGCTCAGGTGATCCTTCTGCCTCAGCCTTCCAGGTAGCTGGGACTACAGGTGCATGCCACCACACCCGGCTAATATTTTTGACTTGTAAAGACGAGGTCGGTCTCACCAAATTGCCACCAAACCCCTGGGCTCAGCAATCCTCTCGCCTCCGCCTCCCAAAGTGTTGGGATCACAGCCGTGAGCTGCTGTGCCTGACAACAGTCTTTGACTTATTACTGTACTTGTTTCCCTAGCCAACCTCTCCATTTTTGCCCTAACCATCCTGTCATTTTATCTTTAGTACATCAGTATGTATCCCATGTCCAACAAAATTAATGGTAATTCCTAATATCCTGTGCCTGGCTCAGTTTTTCCTACTTGTCTGAAAAAAAATGTCTTTTTATATTTGGTTTGTTAGAATGAGAATCCAAGCAAGGCTCAACTAGTATCTGGTTGTCTCCCTTAATCTTTACCAAGTCTTCTGCTTTTTCCCCCTTGCTATGCTGTTTTTTTTAAAAACCAGATCATTTATGCTATAGAATACCCTACATTATGTATTTGGCCTATTGTATTCTTGTGGCAATGTTTAGCTCATTCTTTTATCCCCCATCTTAATTTAAATAGGTACCTGATAAGATTGAGGTTCAATTTGAGGGGCAAGAATACTCCATAGATTAGACTTTTAAAATATACCTTTTTCCCCAAAGCTTATTTTACCCATTTTCATTACTATGCAAACATACTAAATCATCATATGAGCTTTATAAATGGAGTTAGTTTATACTACTTCAATTTAGTGCTAAATACTTTAGATTTCAATTGTGTAACTATGACAGCTAACATTTCTGGACCACTTTCTGTAAATCAGACACTGAGCCTTAAATCACTTAATCTCAACATATGAAGGTAAGTAGTATTATCCTTGTTTTCTAAATAAGGAAATGGACACAGAGTTTAAGTAATTCACTTAAGTTACACCATGAAGTGCTTTACATACAATTAAATCTAATGTTCTAAGGATTTATGGTTTAATATAATTTTTCTTCTTGTTTTTTGCTGTACCATGATTAGGATGCAAAAGTAAGTTTATTACTAGATACTAAAAAGTTACATTATTTTCTATCATTAAAATATGGTGTTGCCTTTGAATTACAAAATTGTTGCTAGTAATATCCCAAACCTGACCTATTCTTGGTCTTTTTCATTTTGTGATGTGCAAAAAATCAGCCACTTTGGATAAGTTTAAGATAATTTTTTTTCTAGGTATGTCTGCTTTGTTTTGGCCTCCTTTGACATTTAAAAGCGAGTATTGGTTGCTACATAGAAAATGTCTTTTGTCCCAGAGCATTCTTTTATATGTGGCCTCCACTGATGACATTGGTTGCTCTGGGGCGGTCTGGGAAGGTAGCTGTTCCTGAAATCTTGCTGCCGCGGATACAGTTAAGTAAAAACCCCAAGAGGAAGACATTTCTATAAATTCATGTGACAAAAAAAAAAAAGTATGGAACACAGCATTAGCTGAAAAATTGTGGGAACTCAGGGCCGGTGGTGGGGAGGTTTCCTGCTTTTCATCTGGAGGTTTTGCTTTTTACCACTAAGTAACTTTTCTGTATACAATTGAGCAGCCAGTGGGTTTGCATTGGGCTTGGCTGCTTTTTGTGTCACAGTAACAGCATCCAGCACACTGGTAGTAATCAGCAGGTATTTAATGAATGCTGAAAACGTCCTTCTGTGGTCTCCAATGTTTTGGGCACAAAACTAAATAACCACTGGCTGTCACTAGTAGAATGCTCCTATGACACAGAATTGGCTTTATTCTCTAAAACAAGCATGTGCTTCCATGTCAATTTTTCCTATCCTCAGGACTCCCTGGATCTGCTTACCAGAGTCTCACATTTTCCCTCCACAGGAAGCTGAAACCCCACGTAGTGTTCTTGAAGAAATTGGACTGACATAACTCTCCTTCCTTGTTGATGACTTCTTGTGGCATTTCACACTGTAGATGGTCACTGCCTTCATGTTCATGTTAGCTAATGGTGTAAGATGATGTCAGTATTACTGTTTTGCTAAACCGCTTCATTCAGGCCTACTTTTTTTTAAAAGGGAATTTTGGTTAATCAAGTGATAAGGGACTTAAATATGAATTAGAATGGTGCAGAAAAAGATACTTTTTTGGATATTTTAAAGTTTATAGGTCACTTTCTCAATCTGATTATGTGCATATATGAAAACACATCTATATACATGTAAAACCAAGCAATCAGGCAATATACATTAATTACTGTACTTAACAAAAACTAAATTATATGTGAAACCTGGTTTTATAAAACCAAAGACTAGTGCAGCATTTCAGTATATGGAAGAATAATGGGAATTGACGAGTCACATATCAAATGAACAGAAACATACCTTTGTTGGAACTTAAAAAACAAATTTATACCAAAGACTCCTATTGGAAACTACACACCTTAAAACAAAGGGAATATAGATTATTATAGATGACTAAATTGCAATGACGCTGTTTTACACTAAAAATTATTTACGCATTCTGAACCTGGGACGAGGAACAAAGATTGTTTCATAATAGTGAGCACATAATTTTTAAGGCCAGGGCACATCTGACTCCTGAGATGAATTTTTGGTGGTCATAATCATGTACTTAGTTGGACTGTTTTTGATGCCCCAAAATAAAATGAGGAATGTTAATTTACCAGAAATTCTTCGTAACAATATCTTACAGAAAAAATGTTGCTGTCTTCACAAAGTGTTGTGTGTAAAGTCATTGTTTAAAGCACGGATGTTTCTTCTGGGGTGTTAAAGCAAATTTATTTAGCTTCCCTATTGCTTTCCTCCACGTAGAAGTGCTGCAGACTTTACAGTAGCTTCCTTTCCATGCCGCTGCCTAGTTAACAGAAGTCTTTTAAGAATCAAAAAAAGACACCCTTCGTATAAAAAAGAGTTAAATGAGGTAAAATGGCATTAGTTGGCCCTATATTTTTTAAAGCTATATAATTGTTCAGCGTCACTTTTTTAAGTACTTAATACATATCCAAACTGTCTTCATGGTTTATACTTTCACTTGTATATGCTGGGCTGGATTAAGCTTTGTTGTGACTGTGACCAATATTCAGGCCACGTGAGCACTGTCTTATCACATCGCCAATTAGTTGAAATAAATGTTCAACGTACAAACACTGTGGTATGTTGTTATCTTTCCAAAAGCTTGTCAAACTATGAAGAAAGAATTTCTAAGTTTTTTTCAGTAAAATGTTGAAAATCCCCCTCCACTTGAATATGGTGGTGGTTATAAGCACACACAAGACAAATGGTGGAAAAATCTGAGTCTTCATGTACTTACTTCAAGCTCGTTAAAAAATAACATGGTTCCATGCTACTGAGAGCTTATCTTCACATTTATTTTCAATCAATAAATGCCACTTTTAAAACCTTGATGCAGTTGACGTTTATAAATCTTTCTGAATGAACAACTCAGATTACTCCAGGTAATCAAAAGATGACATTCCAAACCAACTGGATTCCTCTCACTTCCTTGTGAACTGGAGGACTAGCACAGGTAACAGAAATGCACTAATATTTGCAGACTGTACTGACTAATGTATGCAGCAAGTCAAAACTTTTGGTTATCATGATAGTTAAGGGACCTCCTATTACTACAGGTAGGAAACGTTATATTCTAAAACTGGGATATTTAAGAATGAGGACTGCCATCAAATTAAGTTGCTAGTCTACTAAAAAAAAATAGGCTTAAAGAGCTTCTCAGGACTACTAAAGGTGGGGAAGACAAGGGCTGAAAACCCACCCATCAGGTGCCATGCTTGCCACTTGGGGGGTATGCTCAATAGAAGCCCAAATCTCACCAAGCAATATACCTATGTAACCTGCATATGTACCTCTTGAATCTAAAATTTAAAGAAGAAAATTTTGTTTTATAAAATATAACAGCTCTCTGTTAAGATAAACACTGTAATCCAGCTGGACTATTATTTGTATGTCATTAAATTGTATTTTCTATTTTAAAAAAGAGCCTCTGACATGCAGCTAATCACTGAAAACAGGCCTGTTCAAGATGGACATTTATCAGGATAATGAGCCAGTCAGTGGTTGAAAAATTCCTGCCCTCCCTCCTTGCCACTGCTTATTAACATTTGAGGGAAAAGCCATCAATATCTCAATTGTCTTGAGTTCAAGATGGTGGTTTTCTTTCTTCTCCATGATTTATTAAGACTTCATCTTTGCATACCACATTTAATTGCATACATCTTGGTTGTACTTAGAAAAGTATTAAAAAATACTGAAGTTAGTGATAATTAAGTTAGCATTAGTGAACCAAGTAGCTAGAAACATTCAATGATTTTTAGGGTGAAGCAGGCATTTGGAATCTAGAACAAAACATTTTTGTTTTGAGTTGGGGGTCTCTGTCGCCAAGACTGGAATACAGTGGCACAATCGTGGCTCACTGTAGCCTTGGCCTCCTGGGCTCAGGAGATCCTCCCGTGTCAGCCTCTTGAGTAGCTGAGGCTATGGGCACGCACCACCATGCCCAGCTAATTTTTTATGTTTGTAGAGATGAGGTCTTGCTATGTTGCCCAAGCTGATCTCAAACTCCTGGGCTCAAGCAATTCTCTAAGCCTTGACCTCACAAAGTGCTAGCTAGGATTACAGGCGTGAGCCACTGTGCCCGGCAAAGCAATTTTGTTTTTTTTGAGTTGCAGTCTCACTCTGTTGCCCAGGCTGGAGTGCAGTGGCATGCTCAGCCACCACAGCCTCGACCTGCTGGGCTTCGGTGATCCTTCCACCTCAGCTTTCCAAGAAGCTGGAACTACAGGCGCACACCACCACGCCTGGTAATTTTTTGATTTATTGTAGAGATGAGGCCTTGCTAAGTTGCCCAGACTGGTCTCGAACCCCTGGGCTCAGGCAATCCTCTTGCCTCCACCTCCCAAAGTGCTGGGATTACAGGTGTGAGTCACTGCGCCTAGCTGAAAATGAATTTTTTTTTTTTTTATGAGTTGGAGTCTCACTCTGTTGCCCAGACTGGAGTGCAGTGGCCACTCCCAGTCACCGCAGCCTCGACCTGCTGGGCTCTGGCGATCCTTCTGCCTCAGCCTTCCAAGTAGCTGGAACTACAGGCATGCGCTTCCACGCCCGGCTTATTTTTTGATTTATTGTAGAGATGAGGTCTCGCTGCCCAGGCGGGTCTCGAACCCGCGGACTCAGGCAATCCACTCACCTTAGCCTCCCAAAGGCGCGAGATTACAGGCTGAGCCACCAAGCCAGGCCGAAAATGAATTTTTAAGAGTGAAATTATTCTGGACCCCATTCATCATTTATCAACTACAGATTTAAAAACTTGAATTAATTGATATCACACAGAAATCTCAATCTTTAACAAACTTTAAGATTTCAATTTTTCAATTTTGTTAGCTTTTCAGTATTTTGTGTATCTTTAAGTCCTTATTTCCAAATCTCAGACTGACAAATGTCACATAATCTAAAACTCAAGATCCCAAACATGTCAATGGAAAGGTTATAAATAAGAAACCCAGATAGCATCTTATTTATGATCTGAAATCTAGGGATAGTATTTTGGTTGATGCTTTTTCTACATTAGGTTTTATTCTCTGACCACTCTCCTATGATTTTTAAACCAGAATTGCTTTAACACTAGGCATATTTAGTAGCAATGAGCCTGGAAATGACAAAAATAAGCCTTACCCCTATATAAAGAACTTTCCAACACAGTACTAAAAAAAGATACACTATGACATTCCCCAGCTGAAGGAGGACTGCAGACAGGGTAAGAGGAAAAAAAAATCGACTCTACCTTTTAGTATTTTGAAACTGAGAAAATGAATTTTAAAGCAAAAAAACAGTTTAGCTACTGCATGTAGAAAAATCCAATAGATTATTAAAAAGGAAAAAATAAGCCAGGCACCATGGCACATATCTGTAGTCCCAACTACTTGGCAGGCTGAGGTGGAAGGGTCACCCGAGCCCAGGAGTTCGAGGCTACAGTGAGCTAACATTGTGCCACTGTACTCCAACCTGTTAGAGACAGTCCTGTGTCTAACCAAAATAAAAAACAGCCAACAAGAATCAATGACCATTAAATATGCAAACACATAAAATGTACCTAATTGGCAAAGATTAAAATAACTTAGCGGTGTGGGAGCAGCAAAGTTGATATAGTTTTTTGTAGTCTTAGGGAAGGCAATTTGGAAGTATTTTAGTATCCATTTCCCTTGATATAATTTATCCCAAGGAAATAGTCAAAAATACATAGAAATATTTATGGAAATTCCTCACAAGATTGTTTTCAGCACAGGATTTCTTTAATAGTGCAAAATGAAAAATCCAACAATAGTGCAAAATGAAAAAACTGGTAGATCCACACTAAGCAGTGAGTAAAAATAACAATAGAGCTTGATGAAATATAACAATGTTTCTCATGAAAAAAACATACTCAACTGCAGTCATATGTGATCTTTGTGTAAAAAATGTGTATACCTAGAAGAAAAGATGAAAGCAATGCTGCAATGGTTAAGTGGTTATCTCTCAGATTACTACAAGTAATCTTCATGTTGTTATTTATATATTTTATGTTTTCTAGGTCTTCTATACTAAACAGACTTTGTGATTATCAGAGTATAAAAGGATTTTAAAATAGGATTCCAAGCCAGGCATGGTGGATCACGCCTGTAACCCCAGCACTTTGGGAGGCCAAGACGAGAGGATTGCCTGAGCCCAGGTGTTTGAGACCTGCCTGGGCAATGTGGCGAGACTGTCTCTCTATAATAAATCAAAAAATTAGCTGGGCATGGTGGTGCATACCTGTAGTTTCAGCTACTTGAAAGGCTGAGGTGGAAGACTGCCTGAACCCAGCAGGTTGAGGTTGCAGTAGATATGATCATGTCCACTGCACTCCAGCCTGAGCAACAGAGTGAAACACCAACTCAAAAAAAGAAAAAAAAAAAGAAAAGAAAAGAAAATAGGATTCCAGGCTACACAGGGTTCAGCTGGACTTGCCAACCTATCTGAGCTCTATCTGAGTGTGTAGCAGCCATAATAAATAAGATATACAATCATTTATGAACAAAACAGGTTTATTTAGATTTGGGACTGTGGATATTTCTGTCTCTACTACCTGACCGTCTCCTGCCATGACTCCTGGACCTAGACGAACTCTGGCTCCTGCTGCGACTCCGGCTGCGACGGCTTCTGCGGCTCTGACTGCAGCAGCCCCGGGCCCGGCTGCGATCCCTTTTTCTTCCACTACTTCGTGAACTGTGCCTCTCATGACTCTTTGACGTGTGTTTGTGAGACTTCTTCCCTCTGTGACTACTCCTTTTCCTCTCCGATTCCCCATTTCTTTTGTAGGAGTGGTCTGTACTGGGGCTCCTTCTCCTTCTCAGCCTGCCGTAGTACTCGTCATGGTGACCCATCCTGTCTCTCCTCTCAGAGTTCTTACCAAAGGAGCCAGTCCGATCTGGAGACAGGTACAGGTCTCTATTAGCTTCCCAAAATTCGTTGTTGGGATTTCTGAACACATGAAGAAAGTTGCAGTGTTTTCCTCTTGGACACTGCTGTATTTCAAATAAACCTGCAATGGCACAATGACAAAACAGCACTTATTACTGCATATTCTGAAGATTGTACTTTATCCTTTTCAGAAGGTGCATGTCTAATGTTTGGATATGCTACAACTATTTCCTACTGTGTATTATTTAAAAGGAGCTTACATAGATTGATGTCATAGTTTGGTTCCCAGAATTTCAAAAACATTCTAACAAATGGCACTCTGAAAGGTAACAAGCCAGAAATTTTAATTAACCAGAATATTCTGTGCCCCTATTGGATTATGGTGCAGGATGCAACTGAACAAATGGTAACCAGGTTATCCTGTGTAGGGTTTCACCATCCCACTGACTGACGATTTAGATCCCTAATTAACACTGAAGAGCCTGCCCTTGGGGTCCTTGTGGTAGCATACTTTGAGGGCATGGTAGCCACAGGACAGAACCACTTGTCAAAAGAGGAGGCCTATTATAGGTGGAGAAACCTGTATTTTCTTTATACTTTAAGAATAACAAGATAAACATTGGCCTAAAGCCTCAAATTTGCCAAGTGCTTTTAATATGGAAGGTTCTCATCAAAGGTGATTATATATATATTTTTTATTTTTATTTTTATTTTTGAGTTGGAGTCTCACTCTATCACCCAGACTGGAGTGCAGTGGCCGCTCCTGGCCACCACAGCCTCAACCTGCTGGGCTCCGGCGATCCTTCCACCTCAGCCTTCCAAGTAGCTGGAACTACAGGCGCGCGCTACCATGCCCGGCTAATTTTTGATTTATTGTGGGGATGAGGTCTCGCCAAGTTGCCCAGGCGGGTCTCGAACCCGTGGGCTCAGGCAATCCACTCACCTCAGCCTCCCAAAGCGCGGGATTATAGGCTGAGCCATCGAGCCCAGCTAAAGGTGATTATATTTGAACCACTCAGATCTTTTGGAGGTTTTCAAACTTGTTTTCAAGCAATAAATTCCCCAGATATGTACAACAGTCAAAAGTGAAATACCTCCATACCACACACTATAGACAAAAATTGACTCAAACTGGGTCAGAGACCTAATATAACAGATGAAACTGTAACTCTGAAGAAAACATACAAGTAAATCTTGGTGACAATGAACTAAGCAACAGTGTCTTAGATGTGACACTGAAATAACAAGCAAAAAAAAAATGGTAAATGGGACTCCATCAAAATTTAAAACTTGTGCTTCAAAGGACACAAAGTGAAAAAACCATCCACAAAATGGGAGAAAATATTTGCAATCGGGAACTTGTATGTAGAATATATCAACTCTTTTTTTTTTTTTTTTTTTTGAGTTGGAGTCTCACTCTGTCACCCAGACTGGAGTGCAGTGGTCGCTCCTGGCCACCGCAGCCTCGACCTGCTGGGCTCCGGCAATCCTTCCGCCTCAGCCTTCCAAGTAGCTGGAACTACAGGCACGCGCTACCACGCCTGGCTAATTTTTGATTTATTGTAGAGATGAGGTCTCGTCAAGTTGCCCATGTGGGTCTCGAACCTGCAGGCTCAGGCAACCCACTCACCTCAGCCTCCCAAAGTGCTGGAATTACAGGATGAGCCACTGAGCCTGGCTTCAACTCTTAATAAAGACAACTTAATTTAAAAATGGGCAAAGGATCTAGATAAATATCTCTCCAAAGATAAGGACATGAAAAAATGCTTAGCATCATTAGTTATTAAGGAAAATAACAAACTGGGCATGGTGGCTCACGCCTGTAATCCCAGCACTTTCAGAGGCAGAGGCAAGAGGATTGCCCAAGCCCAGGGGTTCGAGACCAGCCTGGGCAACACGGCGAGACCTCGACTCTACAACAAATCAAAAAAATTAGCCGAGTGTGGTGGCACATGCGTGTAGTGCCGGCTACTTGGAAGGCTGAAGTAGAAGGATCGCCTGAGCCCAGCAGGTTGAGGCTGCTGCAGTGGTTTTGAGTGTGCCACTGGACTCCAGCCAGGATAACAGAGTGAGACTCCAACTCCAAAAAAAAAAAAGGAATATAACAAAGTTATTATTATTATTATTTTATTTATTTATTTTTAGTGAAATAGTCCCCTGCTTTGGAGGAATAAAAGTCACACTCAGAAGCACCTCACTGAAATCCCGCTGGATTTTCAGGAACTGACAAAAGTAACTGCTTTTATGGAGAAAATAATTCCATTCCTTTCATCCCCACCCAAGCCTTTCAACTTAAGGTATAACAATTCTTCTGGTTTCTCTAAGCAAGAATCCTAAACTCTTTTTCCCCCTTCATAAATGGTTTTTTTTTTTTTTTTTTTT